CCAACCCATAGCTGACCATCTGGCAGGTTTTCAGAGGCATTTAATCATAAGAGAAGAGATTGTCTATCCTTCTTTCTCGAGCAGCTGGTGGAGTCAAACCACGTACCTTAGAGATTGCAGAGCAGCTTCTTGCCTCTAGGCTATACGAGCTCCAATAGAACATCAATTATGAGTCATTTTCCAACTCAATGGCAATTAATGGTGGGCTATATTAACTCCTATTTTTTTGTTCTTTTTTTTTTAAGTGCTCTGTATTTGTATTATAAAGGAATAATCAGAAGAAACTTTGAAAAATCATAGTCTTCACATGGCCCACAATCAATGCTTCTGCTATTAAATTGTTTAACAGTAAAATATCAAGTCTTGCTTATGTGAGACAAAGCTTTGCCACAGTTACTTCTAAGAAGCATTCTGGCAGCACTTTCTCCAAGACATATCTGAAATGTGGTAAAACCAGAGTTCTCTTTCTCTCTACACTAGTTATTTTTCTGTCACACCAAGGGAGGATGAGTTGAGGTGACTAAAGAATTGAACTATTTTTAAAGTAATAAGACAGAAGTATAGCCAGTGAAAGGAAAAGTGAAAAAGAAAAAAAAGAGAGGAAAGGAGTAACAGACCCCTGGAAAAGGGTGAACCCAAAGCTTACAGCATGTTGTCAGCAAGAAAGAAGGGCAACAGCGAAGAGTGGTCCTATTAACTTTTCTTTTCTATTGTACTTTACTAAAGATGTCATTCCTCAAATTTGTCGTTTTACATTTGAGAACTGCTGTTTCCTCCTCAGTCTCTGCTGTCGCATCTTGCTTCCCTGTTGTGACCTGAGAAGGACCAGGGTGAGCAACTAGAGGACATGTCCCATAACTGTTTCCTAATGTAAATATTTACCCTGTGTTCCTGGGAATTGTCTGCCCACTGATTTCTACAACAGAGACACAAACTATCATAGTTAAATTAGCACAAAGATGAGAGGGAGGAGATGCCTAAAAGTAATGTTCAGCTTTTCCTCGTGTTGCTCCCATCTTAAAAACAAAAACAAAACAAAACAAAAAACCCCTGATTTATTAGTACTGTTTACCAATTTATTGAACTTATAATGTTGTTATTTTGTGCTGTAGAATTGGAACTGGCCAGTCTAAAGTCTTCCTTGACTCTGCCTCATTGTTCAGGAGTTTCAAAATCAGTTACTTACAGAGACAGAAGAAACAAGGAAGTAGAATGGATTTTAAAAAGAGAAAGGAATGTCCCATCTAAAGTAAGCTATTTCCATTTAGTTTAAGCCGAAGTTCCTCTGTAGAGATGAAGGTCATCATTTATTTTATATTGGTATAGTGATTACTACTTGCAAGGCATTGCTGTAAGTGGTTGGGAAAAGGCAATAAAAATAACATAGATGGCTTCTCTTCTGGTGATGACAACAATTGTGAATATCTGAATCATCATAAAGACAGACTTAGAGTTAACACTATATGGCATTACTCACTCATTCATTGCCCTCAAGTCAGAACAAACACACAGCTGCCACTCCAAGATGTTTTTAGAAGCCATGAATTGTATGGGAGGAAATGGTTCATTTTCCACCACAGAGCAGCTACTGGATTTCAAACTGCCAGTGTTTGAATTGAGAGCTCAACTCTTTCCCACTTGACCATCTGAGCTCCTAGATTGTCAAATTGAAAGAGAAAAAGAAAGAGTGAGATAGAGATAGAAAAGGGTATCATTCCAATTTTTTCCTCAAAAATCTATTTTGCAAACTGTCAAACTAAACATGCTTAAAGACACTTCAGGCTTTTAATTTCTGTGCTTACCTGATAGCAGTGCCAGGCCTACTCAATGTGTCAGTCTTATGTGTTCCTCTAAAATATCAAGATCTTTTTTTTTTTTCTATAATTATATTTTATTAATTTTCATAAACATTTACAGAGATTCTGGGCTTCCACTCATTCATTGCTGCACCACTCTCTCCACCCTCCTCCCAGTTTGTTCTTGTCCAAATGCCACAGTGCTTGTCAAAGCCAGTTCTGATTAATCTTCTTTGTCAGTGTATCCTTTGCCATTCCCTATCACTCCTCCCTGAGAGAGACTTCACCCTGAGTCATAAGGAAAAGGGGACGGCGTATTCTCTTAGCTACTTCCTGCTGAAAAGGGACGCTGTGAGTTTGACATTTCTTTTTCCAGCTTGATTTCCAATCTACTTCTCTCGTTCCCGTTTTCTATTCATAGTTGATCAACACTGACCTTTTCCTCCTCCGGCTGTGTCTTAGGCATTTTACTCCTCACTAAAATGCATTTCCATTTTCCTCCCTTTTCACCATAGCCTGTCCACAACCTAAATGTCAAGTTCTTTATAAGCCAACTCTTATCTCACTGTATAAAATTACTCTTACTCCACCTGGATTCTATAGGACTTCCTACATATTCTCATTAAAACGCTTGCCAGTGTGAATCTATAGTTTCTTTTTTTAGAATCTATAGTATCTTGAATATCTATCACAGCACTTTATGCAAAGTCAATGCTTAATAAATACTTGTAGAATGATTAACCAGACCTGAAATCTGACTTTCTTCAAAATAACAGTAGTAGGACTACCCACCTCAGAGAGATTTACATACCAAGCACAAAGCAAACAGTTGCTGTATGAATAGAAGCTTTGTTTCACAAGTAAGTAATCTTGGTATTAAAACTACACTTTGATAAAAATGGTAATTATCAACTTTGGTATCAGTTTTATCTGAAATAGTTGCCTGGGTCCACTCTGCCTACTCCTGTTACTCCCCTTCTCACCTCACCACACATACAGTGTCTCCTGAAATGGTTATACTGCCCGGCTTATGTATTTGGAATTTATAGTGCCAGTCTTGTCATATGATCTAGTAAAAACATTCTCTCCCTTTTGTGTTTGGGTTTTCTTACTTAATTGCTTTCAAACTCCCAAGGTTATGTTTAAAGAGAGTTGTGTGGCAGATGGATTTGAGGGATGCAGGCTAAAGACGAGGAACAGGCTTTCTTAAATTGCAAGTGTGTGTCAGCAGTGTTGCTAGCATATAAGTCATGTCATCCTGTTTTTCCCTTCTTGAAACATCTTTGAAATTAGTAGCATTATCTTCAGTATACGGCCTAGAGTACTGTGTAGGTGTGTCAGAGACAGTGAGTTTGGCTCAAGATAGAACAGGGTTTAGAGATATCATACACAGAGTTGCTGTGAGTTACAAGCAACTCAGTGGCACATAACAACCACCACCATCAAGGTCATAAGACCTCATGGCACCTAACAACAACAGACGACCAAGATACACATGTGGTGAAAGTCAAAACCAATGATGAGAAAACTCATTTTGAACAATAATTCTACAACACCATCATTGTTCAACTTGTTATGTGTCTCATTGTCTCCAAACCACCTACCCCCATTACCCTAGTTACTGTGTCAATCCCCCTCATCTGGGTTTTTCCTCTTTTGTACAGACCCTCCACTCTTCCAAGCATGATGTTCTTCTCAAAAGACTGGTCCCTCCGATAACATGCCCAGAGTATGTGAGCTGGAGCTTCAAAATTCCTGCCTCCAAGGAGCAGCTTGATTCCATCCTCTCTTGGACAGAGAATACCATGGCTTGGGTCATGCACAGCTTAGCCTTATATATATAGAGTGACAGCCTTGCTCTTTAGCACTTCAAAGAAATCCTTGGTCACAGATTTGCCCATTGCCACATGCCATTTGATTTCTTGACTGCTACTTTGATGAGTGTTGATTATGAATATTATAAAAAGGAAATAATTAACAGTGTCGATCTGTTCTCCATTTATCATGATGTTATTGGTTCAGTTGTAAGGAATTTTGTTTCCTTTATGGTGATGTGTAATTCTTACTGAAGCACATAATATTTTAGCTTCATGAATAAGTGCTTCAAGTCTTGATTTCTGCAAGCCACAGAAGCTTATTTGCATAGTCTATAGAGTCCTCATTTGCATATAAATGTTCTCATCCAATCTACAGTCCACGACTAGAAAGATTTTTTTAAATTAACTCATTTACTCAAGAAATACAACAAACATTCAGGGATAGAAAAAGAAGGGAAAAACTTGCTCAAGGACCTAAAGAAGGCAAAGGGAAAGGAAGAAATAATGACGAGACCCAAAGAGAAGACTCGAATCTCTAGAAGGAAAAGTCCTAGTTGGAGTAACTAGAATCGAAAAACTCCGCAGCGCTCAGGGGAATAATCTTTCAAGCTGTTTTTCATAAAGAAACAAGGAAAAGGCCCACCTAAAGGAACTCATTTTGCCATAATTACTCTCATTCAAAATTGCTGATGTAAATGTTCCTAACCAAAATCAGCATTTGTTAATGAACATTAATCATATATTTCTTATGTTTAGGGTATTATGTGTGTGAAATAGGAAGACAAAAGCTTTATTTTCTTTTTTTTCAAAGGTTTTAGAGTTTTATGAATAAAAAGAGAGAGGTCATCAAGACATAGTGGATATAGAAAATAGGAGGTTATCCAAAAAGCCAAGATGACAGCAAAATCAGGACATTAGGAAGGTTTCACAGAAGTAGTGGAAAACAAAGAGAGCTATCAAGATTTGTGTATGTTTAAATGGTTAGAAGAACTTGCATCACAAATGAGGAAAGCAAGTCAAAAAGTCTGCCTGGTATGTAGTGTTTTAGTATCAGAAAGCAGTTGGGGAATAATTATAAAAATTAAGGTTGTCCAAAGTTATGTCTTACCTGAATTTGAAAATTATTAAACAGAGCAATTTGTAAAATTGAATATTACATATGGTTACTCCCTAAATTGGGAATTTGTTAATGTAAAATTGAAAGGCTTAAAAGAAGACTGTTATTTTTAAAGAGGGAAATATTTTTTATGTTGTCTTATTTGGGGGATATATATTTGCCCCATCAGACTAATTCATGGCTATTGAAGACAGATACAATGTGAATCTGCACATGGATGATTTTAATTGCCAAAATTAGGTCATGATTTTATGTCTTTTCTTCGTACAGGTATGACTTTGTAGAAGTTGAGGAACCCAGTGATGGAACTATTTTAGGGCGCTGGTGTGGTTCTGGTGCTGTTCCAGGAAAACAGATTTCTAAAGGAAATCAAATCAGGATACGATTTGTATCTGATGAATATTTTCCTTCTGAACCAGGGTTCTGCATCCACTACAACATTGTCACTCCAGTAAGTACCATTTCAAGATCCTTATATAGTGCTGAATCAGTTATTTGGTTACTTTCCCTTTCAGACTGCAAGAGGAAGAAAAACAATAAATGTTCCCACAGCTTCTATTTTCTGCTCCTTCATGATTAATCACAAAAAAAAACCCTTGAATTTAGTTTCTGTAAATTATTCACACTGTTAAGTATCTTAACAATACAATAAAAATATGTGCTTTCCTGCCAATATTTAGAAATTATAGTTCCTTTAGCCTCTGATTTCCTATCTGATACTTCATGGTAGATAGGAAATTACATAAAGTACTATTCTTCTTGAGAATATGGGATTTTTTTTTCTATTTATTAATCTTTCGTCTTTAAAGAACATTGTCAAAATTTCACTATGATATCTTGAATTATCTTCAAGTTTGCATCATACTAAATTAACACCCTCCACCCCCAATTTTAATTTCTAACATTTTCAGGAACTCTTTCATAAATGGCGCTATCTGTATTACTCTTAATAAATATTTAAATTAAATAGTACTCTAGTGGTCTTATTTCCAAGGTCTAAAAGACACATTTAAATAAAAGTATTTTACAAGTTATAGCCAACACTAGTTTGCATAAATACAATATTTTAACTAAGTTCATGTGTTTAATACCTTAAAAAACCCCAAATTTGTTTCTCTTCATTTCTTTCTATACACACAAAACATTTCTTTTTAGTTGTCTGTTTACAAATAGATAAATAATATTTTTATTTT